ACTATGGAGCATGCTGCGGCTCAAGCTCCCCATCAGCTTGCTCAGCTCCCTGAGCACGGGTACCTCTGTGACCACGTTCTCTTCCCGACATCTATAAGTTTGGGAGTAGGGCTTGGTAAGCACAGTAAATAGGATCTCAAGCATAAAGATAAAATATATATCAACAGGAAAATAGTATCACTTATCATTCACCGCATGCTTTATATTTCAAAGCAAATAGTTCATCATAAAAAAAATTGTAATTTTCGCGTATATATATATAACGTCCTCACTCATACTAGGAATTCCTAGCGGATTTTATACATGATTCCTAAGAAACTCTATCCTAGCTCTACAATATGACACAGGGATCCTAGAGATATCAGAACCAGAGCACTGATACCAACTATGACGCCTCAGGTTTTCACACAAGGTTGTAGTCTAAGGTGAATCCCAGAATGTCAAACATGCTATGGACCAACACCGTGCAACAACTTGTTTCACCATCATAGTTACTATCTCTCTAGAAGAATCAACAAACAAGTGTAGGTACAAACATGCAAAGAATAGTGAAATAGTACAATGAACAGATTAAACACGAAAAAAATGTATAAATAACCCTTATCAGGGCCCAACTGAAAAAAGAATAAAATAACTCTGAATCTGAAATAAAATGTAATATATATCAACACAAGAGTTAAATGAAATCTCACTAAGGCACTCAACCTCTACAAAATAGAATCACAATCTCTAGGGTCTGAAAATAAGCAACTAAATGTGGAGCTCTGAAATAACTACAACTATAAATAACTAGATGGAATCTAAGATGCAATCTCATCACTCTGCGACTCTCCGTGCGCCAGATTCGCTGCCTGAAAGGGGGGAAAACAACGAGCATAAAAGCACTAACGAGATCATCTCTACCGCCCCAGGGGGAAAAGAGTAGGAGTATATAAGAAAATACTATTAGTACATATAGCTATAAAAATCATTCATATAACTCTAAATGAAGATTGGTATTTAGAAACCCACAACACGAGAATTAGTACGTCGAGCGAAATAATCCAAACAAGAAAACTCTCATGTATATACCATGTCTCAAATTATGGATCACTAAATACCAATTCCAATCCTATGAATAAAAACAGTACATGAAGAAATAAAATACTCCAAACCTATACCCAAAAGAACCAATGTCACATCTCGAACTACCCTCGTGTAGTTGGCACAGTCATAAGGAAATAATCCAGCTCAAATATCACCATAAGCCATATCATGTATGTCATGTATCCAAAATATACCCCACACTTGGGTAATCTAACATGGGAGCAAACTACAACTGTGTGTATATGTCTTTATCATATAATGATACTTTTGTAAGATTCTCACATTTACATGTGGATTCAACGTCCTTACTCAATCATTCTACGACAATAGGTTTTATCTTCCCTATTCCGGATGATGCATCCAAATGATCATACCACAGAATAAATGCGTATCAACCTAATCCAGAAACACATCGATCATCTTCGAGTATTGGTACCGCCGAGGTCTCATTTCGGGATAACGTCCAAATACTCCTAGTGTGGTGCCGCCGAGGTCTCATTACGGGATAAACGTCTACAACGAAACATCCCCAACAGATGAGTATGCATTATCATGTGTTATACCAACACCTATCAACTCAAACATATATTGTGCATCTCCACTATGCAAAAATATTTATTTAAGAATATAGATCAATCATTAGTGCATGTATCTCAATGTGCGTGCTAATATTTCGTGTTCACAAACACCTTAGGTGTTAAACAAGCTATAAACATCATATTATATTTTAGATAGATCGAGAAAATCCCTCAAAAACATTAAACATGAGTTGAAACATGCACATGCTCAGATTTGCCTGGCGATCGACCGCGCCTTATGCGGTGGTCGACCGACCCGAGGTCCTCAGCCTGCTTACTGCAGGTTCGTGTTTTTATGTGTTTCATGATTCTAACTTGTTTAACTCGTTGTAAAACTTATATAGAATATTGCAAATACTAAATTAACATCTCTGAAGATTATTCAACACATAAAACAAGAATCACAATATTAAATATTACATGTAAACCCTAAACATGCATGAAAATATCAAAAGTCGATAGAATCATCAAAACTAAGTTAAACCACATTGCTATTTACTTTTAGATCTTAAATCACTTTTGGAAATTCATTCTTAAGCTTTTAAACATAGAAATCTCTGATCTTTATTCATATAATATAAAATAATTACTTTTATACTCGAACTAGTCGATTTGGCTAAATAAAATCACATAAAAACTCACTAAAACCTTTAAAAACTTGGGTGTAGGGTTAGTAGAGATTAAATTTGCCTGAAAACTTAGTTGAAAGCCTGAGAGTGCAACGCCAAAGAAAATCCCTAAGCCACACGTCAACAAAATCCGCCTACTCATCGAAAATTGCTTCACAAAGCTCTTAGAAACTCAAAATTTTGATCTAGGGTTTAGGGGTGGAAAAGGTGGCTGTTAGGGTTTGAAAGATCTGATATTATATGTGTAAAAACGTGAAAAAGAGGTTTATATACTTCTGTGTGCAACTCGGCCTCAAAAGAACCCGTTTCCAAAACATACTAGGAAAACTAGAAAATCGGTCTACGGTTGACCGGACCTTGTGCGGCGGTCAACCGGCCAACAACTTTTCAGTTTGTGCAGGTTTCTTGGCTTGTGCTTGTTTTGACTCGATTCTTTCACATGTATGAACTCGTTTACACTCAAAATACTTGGCATCATACTCATACATCATTTAATGATATTTATCACGATAAATATCCACTTATCACAATTAATCACTTATTATTTCAAATTATCAATTATTAACTCAAATTTACAGAGTTTTACAATAGTGGAGTGTTTTCATGTTGTCTAGTTTCTAGAGAGAGTGAGAGGGGGAGGACAGAGGAAGGGAGAGATGGCATGAGTTTTCAGTTAGTTGGTCTAGTTAGCTTTCTTAGAAGGTTGATAAATTAGGGAAGTTATGATAGAGAGGTAGGTACGCAGGCGAGTTTGTCAGAATAGTCTCAGTTAAGTTCTTACGATCACCATATATGTGAAAGAGAGATAGACGTAGAAAGTTAGTATTCTAGAATAGCAGTATACTTGATGAGTTGGTAGGTGCTTAGCAAGTTGTTCCTTAGGATCTACTGAGAGTAAAGTGAAGTATGCAATAGTATTAGATTGGCGTAGTGAAGTGTGGTAAACCTTGTAGTGGAGAGTAGCTTAGGAACCGGATAGAGATATCGTAGAAGAGTTTTTATAGTATAGACATTTTATGTTGGTCAATTCTTTTGGGAGCTAGAGTTTAGAGCTAGGAGTTTTCTTATGAGCGTCTCATGTGTGGGGGGTCCTATTGTAGTAGTAATTCTAGAGCGTCTTCCCTCTTCTTTATTTTGAAATATTCTCATCCTTGATTGACATATTTTCTCCTTTGATAGTAGGTTTTGTCTTGTTTGTATCGTGTGTTTCATGTCTCTGCCTTGTAACATTGAACAATTTTCATATCTTCCTTCGATGTTGCACTATGCTTCTATTTCTCTTAGTTGCCAAAATCTCTGCATCTTTCTATTTGATTAATCATGTTTTTCAAAAGTTTCCTTTCATGATGTGAGTTTTCCTCTGTGGTCTAGTTTTCTCTTGCTAGGATTATTGTTATCATTATGACTGTCTAGATTGTGCTCTTTTCTCATTATTCTTTTTCTTTAAAGTTTTGAGGATGAAACCCTTTTTTAAAGGTGTCTAAAATATAATCCCCATACCTAAAACTTTTGATCCCAACCGTTGATCATTCATCATGCAATCTTCACCATCATGTTTGACCCATTACCTCACCTTTTTCATTCATGACACATGTCATGATCACACTTCACTTATGTTTTCTCATCATGATTTATCAATAGTTTCATAGTATTAATTGGGTTTCATGTATGATTTTCTTTCAATCGACGATTTACCTATCGTTGAATTTCTGAGTTTCAGTCTATATTTCAAAATCTAGATATCTTTTCATAATTTTGGCTTTATTAAAGTTGGTTATTTTTATTTATTATGTTTTTTTATGATTTATAATATTATTGGGGTAATTTTCAAAATCAAGTCTTTAATGGGTTAAATCCAAACTTAACCCAATATCTCCTCTATAAATACCAAATATTCTCCTCAAATCCTACGTTTATAGCCTAAAAAATTCCCCATAGACCTTAGGTGAAGCTTGGAGCTTGGAAGAGAGGAGTTCAATTTTTAAAGCCAAGTATTTACTTTTTCTAAATGCTTGTTCAATTCTCCTGTTGTTTATGGATCCTATTTTTTATTTTCTTTGATTTTGTTGATGATCCTCTCAATCAATGAGAGTTTTACCTATATTTTTAGATTTATTTAGGTTTCGAGATTTAGCCTTGGAACTAGTTTTTGGTGGAAAACCCATGTTTTAAAAATGTAGTTCATACATTGTTTTACTAAGAGATCTATGTGGGTTGATCTAGATCATTTTTTATGCTTTAGATTGTTGTTTGTGTTTGTGGGCGAGATTAGAAAGGATATTTTATCACTCTTGATGAAAGAGCTTTTCGAGCTTGAGCATTAGCATTTGATATAAGGAATGCTTTAAGGCACCGTTTGGCAAAGGGTTAAGGAAGAGGGATTAAGGAGAAGGGTTAACTTAGTTAATCCATTGTGAAGGGTTAAAAATATTCTAATTCCGTTTGGATTTGCTAGTTAAGACAAGGGGTTAAGACTTTTGTGTTTGGCAAATAAAGAAGGGATAAGGAGATTAATCTCATTAATTTTTTAAAAAATACCACTTTCGTCCTTACTGAAAATTTATAGCTAATTGCCTCATTAATATTTATTTCGTGTTGTTTATCTTCTGATCAATTTCAAAGATTTGAAGCGCTAATATGTAATTCAGTTGAGACACGTGGGAATAATTCAACCTCCATATAATTCAATATTCGACTACTACATATTTTAATTATTCCAAAGCTGTAAAGCAATCCTGTTGCGAAGCTGCTCACCCCTTAAACTTTCATCTGCACCAACCATGTATTGGGGGTCTTCTTCCTCCTCCACCTCATCTTCATCCTCATTCATCTCTAATCCATTGAGCATATTAAAGTATTTATCATTTCCCTGATGCCTTGCAATAAAATTATGAAGAACACAACAAGCTACAACGATTTTGACTTGAGTTTTATAAGGAAATGGAGCAGCAACTTTCAAAATTTTGAATCTTTGCTTTAAAATTCCCCATGCTTTTTCCACTGCATTACGTAGTTGTGCATGTCTATGATTATATTTGTCTTTAGTATCTCGATAGGCTCTGGTGGTCCTGTTTGCAAAATCTCCAAGATGATAACGTGATCCACGATATGGGGCGATAAATTTTGAAGTATTAGCATATCCTGAGTCAACTAAGTAAAAGTGACATGCATATTTAAAATTATCTGACTTTAATACCAATTGATTTTTTTTAAAAAGAGAAGGAAAAATATTAAAATTTACCTTCAGGAACATTAAATTTACCATCTTCCAGTGTTGCACGGAGTACTGACATATCAGATGCTGATCCCTCCCATCCAGCAGCCACATAAAGAAAAGTATGATCAAAGGAGCACGCTGCCATTACATTTTGAGATATGAAATTCTTTCGATTACGATACCTGTTGTGTTTTTTTTTCTTCACAATTACAGGAATATGAGATCCATCAATTGTTCCCAATGCTTTCTGCAAATATTAAAATGTATAAGGTTCTAATGTATAGAAACATACACACAGACACATTAAAAAACCGATGAAAAAATATATGCATTTAGCTCTACCTTAAAATATGGGAAGAAATTAGGATTCTCTCGAATCTTAGGATGAACGTCTACGTCAGCCGTTGGAAGCTGGATATAATCTTGTTTCAAAGATAAAATAGCATTAAGCACGTTATTATAATCCCTGCTAATAGTCTCTCCTGAATGTTAAAATATCTCAGCTAATACTCGATTTGAAAGGGCATGTGAAATTCCGTAGAGAAATATACAAAGTTGTTCATTGCAGCTTAAATATCTAAGAAATTAGACAACTTGTTATAAAGAATGGTAGATATAGTTCAAAAACATTAACTTGATTCATAATCAACACCTAAGAAATTGAAAGATACAAATTGAAAGATACAAATTGAAAAATTAGACAACTTGTTTCAAAGATAAAATAGCATTAACGTTATCCTTTTCAACTACAGATGGTGGGGGGGTTCAATTATTCTATAGCAGAAGTAAAATGGTTTACATTATCCTTTTCAACTACAGATGGTTCAAGTTGCCTAGGAATGGATTTGATGACAGAGGATGAAGAATTGATGATAAACTGTGAATTCAATTGTTCAGAACAGTAAATTGACGAAAAGGTACTCACTATACTTGAAGTATGCTCACTATAAGCCAAAATGAATCTTGGTTGGGTAGAAGACAAGTAGGTAAATTATAATGAAGTATGTATCTTGTTGGATCGTTATAGTTTCTCTTAGACTTTGAGGTTAATAGGTGTCTGCACCAGAAGCTTATATGTTTACACAAATACAACTATGGGCATCAATAATAGAAATCTAGCATTAAGCTATTATTTACTTCAGTGTTAACCAGTTGAACTATATCACTTTTAATATCCAGCATTAACTCACGCATATACACACACATGTGCGTGCGCTTGACAAGGTTATGATTACGGACTAAAATATGAAAAGGTGTCTGCACCAGGAACTTAGTCATTAACTCATTTATTTCACTAATACTAATACCATAACTTGTTATTTCATTAGTAGTGTATGCAAATAACGGTAAGTTTAGAGATGGAAAGAGCTCTTGCAGAAGAATAAAACTATCCTTAGCAATCATGCTTTCAAATTCAGTACATGTACCTAGACTCATATTGCCAGGATTTGACATGCACCAATTCACTTCGGATAATATCAAATATATATATAATATCCATACATATCTGTCATATTAATTCTCCCACCAAGATTTATCACACACAAATCCTACCTTTCATGCCTTTACATGTTTGTCATAGTACTTTTCCTTTCTAAACATTATATGTATACGGACCTTAGCAAGTGAAGATAGCAGGGTACAGATATAGATACAATATGTGAATAGTATCAAGTGGGTCACAACAAATGCACTATGATACATCTCACTGTTTAATGTTAGTTCAGTTTGTACAAAAATATATATCGTTCAACTCAGAATTATAACCGAATTTGATTACAACTCTACTAACCTTCTCAGTCCTATGATCCATAATGAACTCAATAAACTACTCTCAAACAAAAGCTTGGCCTAATTGAACTTTAGGATGCCCTCGGTGTGCAGAAACTCTTACAGACCGACTAAATACCATTTCTTCCTTCCTTCCTTGAACCATATCTATTCTCCATTAGAGATCACCAGTGCAAAAACAGACACAGTTTTGGTTTAGAACCAGTTTATAAAAAGAGAATATATTTAATTCCAACTACATAAGGTGACTTGGGACAAATAGAGATAAATGTACCCACATGTTGGTAGGCTTATACTCAAAGTAGACTGTAGGTCATCTCAAGGTATGGGACTTTATGCATCAATATATGAAATCAGCCTATATAACACAAAGGACATGAGTGGAACATACGGACATACTTCAAACCCAGATAGCTAAAAGCATTTCTGAAATCATACTCTTTAGTATATGGACTTACTTCTCTTTGCTAAAAGCTAATCGATTTGGACATGAGTGGAACATACGGACATACCCAGTCAAAGGGATTTATATGGGATAATCAAATTGCTGTAGGAAAACATACCCATTCAAAGGAGCTGGCAAAAATTGAATCCACTTATATACACATTTTAACTGCAATCATTCCTAACAAAAATCTAATCCACTTAATCAACTTAACCAGGGTGACTATCATGGAATTATGCCACTTCATCAGACACGATAATTTTAACATTAGTCATGTATCATAATATAGGCTCATACTACTAGTTAAACTTGTCAAAAAATTATGTCATGTAATTAACAGGTTTGCAAAGAGATATAACGCTAACTCTGTCTCACTGGTTCTATTATGTTCTCAAATTGCTTTTATACAATTACAAAATAGCTTCAAGCTTGAAGATTAATTAATCTAAAAGCTCAGTAATGATCCTTGGTGATAATAGACCTCTCCAAACCCAGATAGCAATTTTGCTTAATTACAAAACTGGCATTTCCCCCTCAGTTTACATAGGTATATATCCCCTTAAGACCAGGTAGTCAAATTTGTTATAGGACAGATAAAAATTAAAGTGATACATCACCTGAGAGAGCTCGGACAAATGTTATTGAAGTCATAGGACAGATAAAAATTGAAGTCATAGGTATATATCCCCTTAATTACAAAACTGGCATTTCCCCCTCAGATAAAAATGTTATTGACTGCCTTCACTTGATAAATTTGACAAAAGGCCAAAAAAATGAGATCAGCTTAATATTTCGAAGTAATATAAGTACAAAATTGGATTTCAGATAAGGTTAGCATTATCTTCTCTTTTTCCTATTAAACCTACTTCCGCCATGGGATTCTGATATAAACTCAGATCCGATATTGCAAAATCAAACAAAGAGATTCATAAAACATCATGTTTGTATGGCAAAGATTTGGAAACCAAGTCAATATTTGTAAAATCAACATACCTCACTTTTCTTTGCCTCCTGTCGCTTGAGATCCCCAATCTGCTAAAAACCCTAGTTTCTTCTTGTTTGTTCCCCCTCAAATATTCCTATTAATAGCTGTCTCAGGTGAAAAAAATAGAGGGAAAATTCTGGAGGGAAAGAAGTAGAGGGAAACAATTTTGGGGGAGAAATTCTTTGCTGCAAATTTCACTACAACTGAACGATTTTCTTCTCCGAAATTAGCTGCAACGATTCCCCTAATTCCGCTGCGAGATCTGGAACTGGAAAAATTCCTCCGCCTACCCTCGCGATACAAGCCGAACAAGCCTTGTTCCGCGTTTTTACGCGGAATAGTTATCCTCTCTTATGACGGGTTAAATGGACAAAATAGATCACGTGAGGGTTTGTTAACCCTTCCCCCTTTTTTTTCTGTTTGGCAGGCTAATAGAGGGTTAGACCCACTTAACCCCCTATTTATCCCTTTGCCAAACACATCCTAATGTAAAACTTATTCTCAAAGATCCCCTTTGATGCTAGAAATCATGGGTAGAAAGTTGATTTTAATTTGGTTGTCTCTTTATACAGTTTTGCATCAAAAAGTTACAAAAATTGAGGATTTTTAGGTCAAGCGTATGTTGCATTCATAAGCATGTACGTTGGGGATGAAAACCACTTGCTTTCAGCCAAACACAATTGAGTGTGCGCGCTCATCCTTTCGGTAGTTTGAATGTCATATTCAAATCATCATAACTTTTGATTTCAAACTCAATTTGACAATTCAAGATGTTTTTGAAAGCTCTTTGAGTCCTCTACAATCATGCATAGTTGATTTTTTTATTTTGGTTTTCACATCAGTCCATTTTTCATGATTTTTATAGCAATATATAGTTTTTGAAGGATGTTGTTTTAGTCAACTTTGAATGGCCATAATTTTTGATTTCGAACTCCATTTTTAACATTTCTAAATATTTTGAGAAGCTCTTTGAATTCTCAACAACTTGCTTACTTAAATTTATGGTTGGTTTTCATATAGATACAGTTTTGATAATTTTTGAAGCAATGTATAATTTTTTTGATAAATCATGTTATTGCCATGCCTTACGTGTTGGATACATAGACCTTATCTATGATTTATGTACTTGATATTGAGAACCCATGAGATATGTTCTTGTTTGATTATTGGACTAGATAAATCCTAGTGACATTCTAGGTAGTATAATGCATGACAGCTATACATGAATACTAGTCGTAGCTTGGAAATATTGATCGTGACTCTTTGACTTTTACTCCTTGTTTATCCAGATAAATATGTCGAATGGAAATTAGATAATGTCTTAGTATTTTACGTGTTTGGTATTAGACATTACATTTTAGGATATGTTCTTGTTTGATTGTTAGACTGGATCTAGTTTGTTTGATATCAGCATGATATACTGCTTTGACGCATGAGTTTCTATTGAACATGTATCGAGACACATTGAGATATGTGGCTATGAATTTTGTACCTTACATATATGAGTATGAAGATCACCAACTAGGTTAGGGCATCCAAAGGGACTTATATAGGTCGATCACCTATGTGGCAACCCTTGAATGATCCGCCGATGTTGGGGATAATCATATAAGAATGTTCAAGGACTAGACAACATTCCATGTATTGTTTATTAAACTAAAAAGAGCATAACTTAGGGCTTTTAATGGGGGAATTAAACGATGAGAACCTAACGGATATTGAGGTTGTAATCAACATAATCTAATACCTCAATTGAAAGTTGATGAGTAAGAAATCAAGAGCAAGTTCTAAGAAAAAGTATCAGTGATGGACTATGTTATCTCTGTTGAATGTTATATTTGCTGGACATTTTAAATCTGATAGTTCTATCATTTGTTATATATGTTGCATGTGCTAAATTGGTTTTTTTTTTTGTAATATCTTTTGATGAGTTATGTTTCATTCAAGTGCATAGCCACCTCGAGCATTTTTCATTGTAGCACATGAACTATGAGTTAAGTGTGATTCACTTACACACCCACCTTGAGCGTTGTTCTTCTTAGCACATGAATTAATACTTATTGGATGTGAGATAAAAGTCTTGAATCTGAGGCACTCTCACCATTTAATTCCAAACAAGATAAAAGATGACAACTAGGTTAATAGTCTTGGAGTCACTGGTAGAAAACAACGTATTCCAGGCGGAAAATTCCGTCTGGAATAACTTCAATTCCGTCTAGAAAAAGTATTCCAGACGGAATTCCGTCTGGATTACGGGTCTAATTTGTTTCCGTCTAGAATAAATTATTCTAGACGGAAATTCCGTCTGCATTGTATTACAGACGGATTTTTTTAGACGGATAAAAAAACCGTCAGTAATTCTTTCCAGACGGAATTTTTCCGTCTGTAATAATTAATACAGACGGAATTTTCCGTCTGGGATACATAATATCCCAGACGGAAAATTTCGTCTGAATTATTTAATCCAGACGGAATATACCGTCTGGGATGTTATATATCCCAGACGGAAAATTCCGTCTGGATTATTTAATCCAGACGGAATATACCGTCTGGGATACTATATATCACAGACGGAATATTCCGTCTGGATTAATTATCACAGACGGAATTTTTTTTCGTCGTTGATAATCAACCCAGACGGAATTTTCCGTCTGGGTTGTCCGATATCAACCCAGACGTTTTTACATCCCAGACGGATATTTCCGTCTGGGATGTAAAAAATCCGTCTGGGATGTATATCACCCAGATTCTCACATTAAAAATTGGCTGTACACCTGTATATCACACAAATTTCACAATTTTGCTGTATACCTGTATAATCCAGTTTACACATATAATCAACAACAAAAATCACAATAACAAAAATCACAATAACAAACACATATATAATCAACAACAAAAATCACAACAAAATCACATATATAATCATACATATCATCTCTCTCTTAAGTCTGCCAACTTATGATCACAATAAAAATCACATAAATTTGTAGCACAACTCAATCGGATCACTGTTTGTTTTGGGCTCAACACAAAGAAAGTTTTGATTTAAAAATACGACAACGATTTACAAACCGATATCGATCCAAGTCCACGAGCATTTTTTCTCTAGAGATGCTCAAAGAAACACATGCACCTGCAAGATAAAAAAGAATGTGGCATTATTTTTAAGAATATGATATACATATTCCTAAATTTAGAAGTATGCTTAGAAATGTTGGATATATGGCAAGCCACAATAAGTCATGATGAATTTTAATTCTTTTGATGTCACTTTGGGTATTCATGACTACAATAAAGTTGTGTTACTTTGGATAATTTGAACCATGTTTAATCTAATAAAAATCAAACTATTTGCGTCCGTCAGATTTCATCAACTGAATTCCCTTCTCATTTCCTTTCTCCAGGGAATTTGATGTGTTCACTTGAAAAACCAACGACCTTCACAATCCACCCATCACCACATACATACATGCATCCTCGATGTCATCTAAGAAGTAAGCGCGTTTCAAACGTACCCTAGAGTACTCACTTCATTCAAATCCCTCATCTTAATTAATTAATTTGCTTTTATATATAGTACTTACCTCACTCAGTTCTACTAACTCTATCAACAACATCCAACAATTAATTAATGAGGAGCAAGAGTAACTCCTGTCGAGTTCTCTCACTTGAATCAGAGAATGCAAGTTTAATTTGCAGAAATGTTTTAAAAAGGGCCTATAGAACCATATATGGCTCTTGAATATCATCCGGATGTTTAATTGCACTCTATCGAAAAAGGAGGAGCTTACTGTGGTGTTTATAGAGCTTAATTATGAGACGTTATCAAACGCTAGCGTCCGAAGAAAATATGATCCTGAATTGAGAATGAAGGATTATGCGAGTTCTTTTGTGCAGGCTGGTTTTTTCAGCTGCTAATTGTTTAACTTCATGTGAACACATCAAATTCCACCCACTGTTCAAGTTATTGATCATCATCATCAACCTAACATTACAAATTTAGCAATCACTTGTTTATGTTATCTTTTTACTTAGATACCAAAGGCGAGGGTAGGCCTGTCCATCCGGCCCGGCCCGACCCGGCCCGGCCCGGAAATCCGGGCCCGGGCCGGGCAAAACCGGAGCCCGGACCCGGACCCGGGTACCTCGGGCCGGGTCCGGGCCCGGGCCCGGGCCCGACCGGGCCGGGTTCCGGGGCGGCCCGGGTTTTTCCTTTTTTTTTTAATTTTTTTTTCCAAATTTTTAAATTTTATTTAAGTTTTAAATTATAAAAAAAGACAAAAAAATAATAAAAAATAATAATTTTATTAATCACTTAAAATGACATAAATTACAAATAAAAAATTATAAAAATAAATTCTTTATTAATAATTAATAAATCATTTATAAATTACAAGTATAAATTTATTTTGGAATTCATCGCATCACAATAGATAAGTACATCCCACCTAGGTTTTTTTAAATTTATTTTCTTTTTTTTTTTGATAAAAAAATGCTAAAAATTAGTTTAATATTATTATATTTTATATAATTTCCTTAAATGAGCTGGGCTTCTACCCTGCTTTTTCAGTTCAAAAAAATAAAATCAACAAACAAATCTCAATAATAAAGCATCCAGATTCATACACCATGAGTTTGATGCATAGTTCTCCTTGTGATTATATTGGGTAAGATATTATTTTATGCAGAATGATCATATATTCTCTTGTTTGACCATGACGGATAGTGTCCCGATATTGGAGATTTCAAGTGTCAAAGACGCAATGACAACATCCCACTGAATATTTGTTCAGAAGAGGATGAGGACGCGAGCGTAGCTCTTGGAAGAATAAAATCATTGCTTCTAAGAAAATCATGAAAAAATTGTGGGATCACGGGAAATTAAACTTTTACACAATTTCCTCATTTTCTTTTTTCCAAAACCCCCTCTTGCAAACATCATAAACAAAAAATTCGTTAATCAAAATTTCAAATTGGCTACATGTATCTTAATTATTTCCAATCAAGCTAGTACTCTTAATTTTACCTATAGTCTTTTTTTTTCTCTCATTAAATATAAAGTATCACGCATCTTTTTCAACCATACATATGCACACATGCATGTATTTGAAAATTAAAAAAAAAACTAAAAAAAGGGCAAAACGAAAAACTCAGATAGATTATGAGTCATAACCAAACAATTTGTATGACGGTTTCCACACTACTCACCTCAAGGATAAAAAAAAGAAAAAAAAAGAAGAAAAAAAAAGTACACGATAATATGAAAAATAAATATGGACCCCTTTAATTAACCCCTATCAACTTCTAACGCAGGGATCGAGACAAGTAATTAGTTTGCTTGTGTTATGCATCCAATAAGGCATTAGCTTCACTAGAAAACAAAATTTCAAGTACAAACCATTACCCAACAAGCCTGTGGCTGTCAGCTAATTGTTTAACTTCATGTGAACACATCAAATTCCACCTACAAGCCAAGTTATTGATCATCATCATCAACCTAACATTACAAATTTAGCGATCACTTGTTTATGTTATCTTTTTACTTAGATACCGAAGGCGAGGGTACCCAGAGCAAATTAGTCCTCATCATAAAAATATTGTGATCTACTTAATTATATGGGTTCTTGATTCCTAGTAAGACGTAGCATCAAGATTAAAGAATCATACCTTGTAGCAATTAAGCATGTTTTAATTAGTGGATAACCGGACGCAATCGGATGATGATCCAATATCAATCAAGGTGATTAATAAATAATGACACGTCATTAGATATATGTCCACCTTTGCATAAGGACATTCTTGCCTACATGATAGGCCAAGGGATTCTACATGCAATTAGGGGCTTAATTAATGTGTTTTAGTGCATGGCTGGTTGGTGGAGAACGTGGGAATATTAAAGGGTAGTTTCACAAAACAACCCCCCAAACTTTTTTGATGGTTTTACGTAATGCTTCTCTGAACTTTATAAACTAGAGAAAAATCTTTTTGAACTCCCCAAACTCTTCAAAACGGTTCATCAATTTAGATATGTCTTACGAATTGGGCACTTGCTGATGCTTGCTAGTCTAGAGAAAGAAACATGAAGTAGAAGAAAAAAGCATAATTGAGAAGGCCAGGTTGATTAACAAGTGCCCATTGGCCTAATTGTTTAACTACGTTAAAAAATAATTTTAATCATGAGTGAGGAGTAATTCTATTAAAAATCACAAAAAATGTATAAGAGGGCAAGGAAACCTGTGAAATTTCAACTTAATTACAAAGGTATATATAACCATGCATATCTATACATGCTTAAATCTATACATGCTTAAATCTATACATGCTTAAATCTCCTTTGCATGCAAATTTCAACTAAAACATTCATCTTGTCAACGAATTGCATGCATATGTTATCCTAGCCAACACATTTGTTTAGTATTTCTTCTCAAAGCAGTGAAATCTTTTATATGTGTGTATATGTATATGTATATGTATATGTATATATATATGTATGTATATATATATGTATATATATATATGTATATATATATGTATGTATATATATATATATATATATGCATCGATCCAACTAAAGCATCCTATGCGTATGGCTTCTAACTGGCACAATTTTTCTAGTGAGTCATGCATGGAGCTTTTTGTTGTGATAAGACTAATATACAAAATTGACATCAATTTGTCTCTACATACACATACACACATACAAATAACTAACTTACCTCATAAAATCAAGAGTCATCCTCATCGTCAAGTTCCCTCCTCTGCATTCCGCTACTGCTTCCGCCAGCAAGTCCAGCCTGAAAATTAATAGATTTACATTTAGAGAACGAAATTTAACAATATAAGACATATTGTTAATTTACCTGTGCGCCAGCGTCTAAATCTATTTGGTCCAACACTTCTCCAAATAATTCAGCTGAAATCTTCCCGGACAAGCATAAAACGATGTGTCTAAAAACATCGTCGCTAGTAGGGGATGGAGGCAAATCTGAACACATAGTTGTCGTCATCTGCATGAGTAATGTAGGGTCGATCTTACCGCGCAGATAACGGTTGACGCGCATAATTGTAGAAGTGGTGTGAGTTCTGTTTGATGATGTAGTCGCAGTTGAGGTTGTCGAGGATGCCGTGGAGGATTTTCTGGAGGTACCTCGCTGAGCTCCAACCCCCATCAATAGGTATCTACCCCGGTTATTATATCCCATCACATTCATTGCAATGACATTACTTTCCTCTCTTGACAAAACATGAGGGTCATCAGCAGCTTCTTGGGTAGCACGTAGTGCTGCATCCTTCGACGCGGCATCAATATTCTCCTAAATCACATACAGAAAATAGATATATATTGAATTGGAAAATAATGATTTCAAGTTACAAAAGTTTAAACTCCTAATTAATGAAATGTACAACAACGTAATAGTTATTAATTTATATTTGTTAAAAAATAATTACCACCAACGCCATGTTTTCTTTAATCTTCTCTTCATTTTTATATGTTGAGTGAAATGTGCCGTAAGCTAACTTTGCCTTCAAATTGATCGGCATTATCGGCTTCCCCTACAAAATATAATAGGAAATGTCGAAGAGTTTGGCCAAATTGAAGGTGTTAGCATGTGAATACATCAACTTTAAATATTATACCGTGTCTCGACAATATCTATACTCAAGGTTGGCAAAGGACATCGATCCCAAGTGGTGGTCAAGCTTGCGCTTGCTATGTCGGTTCGTCGAGCCCTTCTTAGATTTATCCTACAAAAATTTCGGGTGTTAAAAATAAATTGCATTTACAATATGCTCATGTACGCAACCTGATAATGTACTCATACCTGTGCGGACTCGGTATCCCAATAAAAAAGAAGAGCCATGAAATGATCGAGATCCACCCTCTCATCGTGATTTAAAAATCTCTGCCAGTCTTGGGTATATTTATCATATGTTGATATCTTCAGCTCATGTCGCCACTGTTTGAGCACGGCCTCAACTTTGATATTGAAAACATAGTGCCACGCCCCAGGGTAGTCCTCAAGTTGAGCACGGCCTCAACTTTGATATTGAAAACATAGTGCCACGCCCCAGGGTAGTCCTCAAGACAATAGTGTTGCTACAATTTTGCATGTAAAAATATAAGATATCTAAGCATTTTGTAAACGTATTCTATATCAAAGAAAAATTAAAGAAGTAATGATCATATACCATCAACTCTCTCCATATATCCTCGTATGCGGACCATGGAAGCTCCTTGAATTTGAAGTACGGGTTTATGACTTGAGCCCGCCGTACTAAAACGCCGATGTAGTTATTAAATTTTTTGGACCACGGGCCGATCGGCAAGTTATCAACCCACTGAAGAATTCCCCGAAAGCCTCTCGGTGTCTGTTTGGAATCAGGCTTGCTTCCACCACGTCCTCCCGGTCCAGTTGCATTTCGCTTTGCCCCTACATTGACAACAGAAGTTACGTGATGAAAAGGCAAAAACAATGGGACAAAATTATTTAACGTACCCCTCGCCACTTCTCTATCCCTTGCTTCGGTTGCAAGTTTCTTTCTAACGGTCATCATAGGCTTTAGTTCATCTAGCCTTTTGAGTGCAAGTGGATGATACTTCAAAGCATTAGTCTTTGATATGATCGAGTCTGGAGGCAATGGTAGATGGGGGATGTCAGGGGTCCACAAACGCAACTCGGCCCCCTGCGTATCATGCGAAGACGATGGTGTCCAAGAACCCTATACAATGATTAAAGAAGAGAATCAATACGAGAAAAATGATCGGATCAATATATTGAGATGCAAAGCAAAAATAAATATATTGCGACACCATTACCTTCAGTGTGGGAGGGCTCTGCATGTGAATCAGTGGCTCCGGGTGAAGAATAATCAATGCCTGCCAAATTATCTATGCAAATAAAAATTAATATTGCTAACATACAATAGATTTTAAATACTAAAGCTGGACTTTAAATATGATATTACAAACACATATATGATTAATACCTATATGAGGCGAGAATGCTAGAGTTGTGTCCCGTAGACGACCTAATAATTCCGCATCATCTACTCACATAAAAACAACTTAGCCTAAATGATGTTTCATATATCTACTTTGAGTTGTAAAAGATAATTAAAATTCATACCTATATCCGTATTTGATGAAATGTGTGCCTCCTGAAGCTGTCCTGAGCCTAGGGCCTCCTGAAGCTGTTCTGAGCCTAGGGCCTCCTGAAGCTGTTCTGAGCCTAGGCTCGTAGATCGTGACCGATCATGCGATCGATCGAATAACCTTGAGTTCTTCATCTGTAACATGGAATTAGCAGAGTTCAATATGAAATATTTGCCTACTAATTCACAAGATAAACATTTACTGCAATTAAACATTTAAATAACATTCGCGCACAAAATGACATACATAATATACCTTCTACAACTTGCTATTTTCGTATTGAACGAGGTATTGTTTGTATTATTCGTATTATTCAGGCTATATTTAACGTTGCCTGCTTTCGTCTACTAGTAGTTGATTCTAGTTGCACATCTGCCGCTGGTTCTCTATCCCCGTCTAAAATTGGGTTGTCAGTCTGAATCTCCGCATCTGTCATATCAAGCATGACATTCTGAGGGTGTAGGCGTATAAAACTACCTATAGGTCCCTTAACACAGCTCGACAACGCCGATTCGACGAACCGACCATCAGGCGACGTATGCAGACACGATTGTTAGTCCACAACGCCGAAGCCAAGCGATACGCGACGAAGCGGATTAACGAGGCTACGAAGCTAATGAACCGCACACAAACAACGGAATAAATCCACTCGCGTGCGGAATCAAGCTAACGGGTTGAAGAGTCAACGAGTTAACCAACCAAGGGCGGACTCGGACGAATCACGATTGAATCAAGATCAGTTTCAGACTCGAACTCAGAAGTGGATTTACTGCCAAACCAGGAATCGGATTTACTGCCAAATCAGGTCAACGATTCAAGTCCGGATAAATCAACCACAGAACCGGATCACGGACTGAACCGAAAACGGAAAACGACTGGAGATCATACGAGAAAGTTATGTTCAAAATACCCGAGATACTCACAAGTGTCTCGGCCTGGCCGAGCCACCTGGCCGAGCCAGCTCGGATCTGGGCCCAGATCTGGGCCCAGATCCGCTTTCAATGCCTATAAATAGAGGGTTGTAGGCTTATTTTTGAAGGGTTAGATTTTTTGGAGGCGAAGCCCTGCTGGATTGAAGACTCAGATCTAAAAAAGATTCAAACTTTAGGGCTTCGAGGACTTGTTCATCCAGATCTGGTGCTCGGCGATCGTCAACGCCAAATAAGGCAAAAGTTCGAGAGGACCGGATCTCAGATCTACGCAGGCGTACTCCGGATCAAAGATTGGCCTTTGATCCCGAGATTTGGGCGATTGTTTCCTTGGTGAACCAATCCCCCCGGCTATTATTTCCTCTTTGAAATAATACCCGTCGTACTGCGTAGATCCGACTGGATCTAGATCTCGCGGTGGTCCACGGATAAACCCCGACGCAGGCAAAGAACCCACAAAGCGAGCGACCGCAAAACAGGAGCTCGTGATTTGTTCGACAAACAAGGATAAAAAGTTGTAATCTTTCTTTTCTTTTCTTTGATTTTTATTGTAACCGGATCTTATAAAAAGACCGGATCTTTTGTAACTCAAAAAGTTGTTATTTAAGAGTGCAATGGAATCAATGAAGAAAGACACAATAGGTTCAGACCAAAGAGCGTCAACTGCAGCCGTCGAAAGTTCAACTTCTGGCGAATCAATCCAAACCGCCGATGATTTCCACAAATGCTCCGGGAGATCCCGCAGGACCATCCCAGAAAAGGAAGTCAGTCTTGGAGCGCCTCGGTCCAATTCCCGACGAGAGAGGCAAAGCTCCAGTTCAAGAGAGTTTGGGCCCAATGAAGAAGCCCAGAACGACTCAACACGCTGGGGGTCGCCGTCACCTCCAACGTGATAAAGAAATCAGGGCAGCTATGTGCACCAATTTGTGCATTGAAGTCCAAGAGCCCGCTGAAAACTCACGCCCAAAAAGGCATGTTTCGAGGCGCGTAACTTTTGAAATCCCGAAGAAGGTAGTTCGCTCTCAGAAGGAAACGTTATCGTCTGATGATGATTATGTTATACCTGAGAAATCATGCCAACACACGATAGGTTGCTCCGACTTTCAAACGGACGAGCTGTACTATCGTGCTGGGGGTACAAGCAAAACCAGAAAGAGAAGTCCTCGAAGGCTAGAAACTCAGTGCCCTTGTTCAAAGCTCATTCGGGCGGTACTGTCTGAGTGCAACTGCATCAAAACAGTCACCGAGAGAGTTTCGGTGTTCGAAAGGCTTAGTACCGAAGTGCCAAAACCAAGGCATAGGCGTTTCCGGCAAAGAAGAACGGTGGTTGAAGATGGAGAATTTCCGAGGGTCACTACCAATATGACCAGCAAAAGGGCATCGACAAGGGATAATCCCGAGTCAATTCCGGAAGTACCTTGGTATCTAACTCGTCTGCAGTCTGGAGACATTACACGAGAAACTTATGGTAGGGTTCGGACAAGATTATCGTCAGAAGATGAAGAATCGGATTCCTGCTCTGCTGTCGCATCAGACAATACGGTGTCCAGCGAAGGACAACCCCGCGAGTCATTCATGATAAGCGCGGAGTCTGGTGTCTTTTTCAATCGGTGAAAGACTAAATCGGTAACGCGTGTTAGGCGTTGACTTATCCCTGCTTAGGATTCGGGATAAAATTCCTCATGCATAAAAGGCATGGATTTTTATTGCTACGATACTGAATACGTAGACTCGATCGTTTTTACGGGAACGAACCACCCAGCAACGCGGGTTAAGCGCTGACTTATCCCTACTTAGGTTTCGGGATAAAATGCCCCAGACTGGATTCTGGTGTCTTTTTCAATCGGTGAAAGACTAAATCGGTAACGCGTGTTAGGCGTTGACTTATCCCTGCTTAGGATTCAGGATAAAATTCCTCATGCATAAAAGGCATGGATTTTTATAAGTGGCCAAGATGCTTGAAGATGCCTTAGCTAAACAACAGGAAACCTTCAGGTTCGAAATGCAGATGGCCATGCAGAGTATGAGAGAAATGCATGAGCAACAAATTCAGGCACTGACAAACCAGCAAGGTGAACCAAGCCGCCGTAACCAGGTCGTTCAGGAAGAGGAGCACACGGATACGGATGAAGCTCACAATGCCAATAATCCTCCCGTCAATGCAGGGGGTGGTAATGAGGATGATAGTCGTAATGCCACACTTCCGCCTCAGAATCGTGCTAACGAAAACACAGGCGAAAGTCTGAAGATCAAGAACCTCGAGAGCAAAATCAACACATTGATCTCCGCTCAAGAGACGAAGAAAACAGGCATTCCCTGTCCATACCCAAGAGAGTGGGAATCGATCCCATATCCGGCGAAGTTCAACCTAATTAACTTCATGCCGTTTGATGGGAAGGGTTCGCCCACTCAGCATGCGATTTATTTCAAATCACACCTGGGGGTAATCACTGGCAATGAGCCTCTGATGGTGCGGTCATTCGTCGGTACTCTTCGCGGAGCCGCCTTCGATTGGTATCAAGAGGTTCCGGAACAAGGCGATGAACTGTCGGGACCCGATCACTGAGGAGTTCATCCTCCAGACTTGCCACAATAACCTTTCATTGGACGTGTTGGAAGCGATAGGAACCGCACCGTCTGACACTTGGAAAGACTTGAAGGTGCGCGGTGAACAAGCCGAACGCTTCCTCCGAAGGAAGAAGGCCGAGAGGAACCGACCGACGGTTAATCCGCTCAACTCAAACTTCGCCTCTCGTGGTAAGGTCAAGGCACCTACAGCTACTG